TGCCTGTTTTTTGGGGCATGCCAGCCACCTACTGGACAAGTTCATCATTGCCCCACCAAATAGAGTCAGAATCTGTTTGGAATATTTTTGTTCTAATGTTTCTATGTAGGATACATCTGTGAAAAAAGCCTCAGACTTTTGCCTCTGGTTTAGGGGGAAAGAGAAAGAAAAAAATATTTGATGCTTTATTTTAGAAATGTGAGTTAGGGAAAAAAAGGCTCTGTGTATTCAGTTAAATAATGCAAATGATATATAACCGTGGAAGGCAAACTGATTTTCTTAATATTGTTGAACTCTAGTTTTTATCAACTCCATCTAGTATGGCCAGAAATGATGAGAATCAGAATCCAGCAACTTATGAAGGAGTAAACCCCACTGAATAGGACATGAATGCTGTCCAGCAAACAAGCTGAATTTTGGGCTTGTGGGAGGGCAGAATTTACTGCAATTCCTACAACTGGTGCCCCAGAAATGATTACTTCTGAAATTATTTCTCTCAGGATTGCATTATAGATAGAAATATATCTAGAAATTGCAGGTGGTAAGCAAGTACTAAAAAAGCCGCAACAAGAACTCCTCCAAAATTAAATAAATAAAAAAAATCAGATATCAGGAAGAACTTGAATTATTTTTCTCAGATAATAGCTGACGCAAAAAAATTAGGTTTCATTTGCCTGAGGACTCCACATCATCCAAAACTCCCATAAACTCAAGGAGTAGCAAAACAGGCAATTTTCTTGCAGTTAGATTTTAATCTTATCTCAAATGTTCAGTTAAGGCAATGTCAGCAGAATTTGATTTTTTTTTTTTAAATAGCCAGGAAATCCATTGGCCAATGATGCTTTATCCATTTGGTCACAAATGCACATTTTATCACTGCCACATTCACTCTGTTATTAAAGTTAGAATTTAGGTTAGCATTTATATTCTGTCCGGGTTCTCAATAATGTTGGTTTTAGGACAAAAGGTCGATGTAAATTTCTTTCCATTGAATCTTTAGCCCAAAACTTGATTGTTCTCAAGAAGATTTTAAAGTCTCTCTTTTTGAAACGGAATTTGTAGAAATATAACATATGTCACAGATGCAATTTAAACAACTAATTTGTAAAATTCAGAACTGCAGGGCTGTCATTAAAGAAAAACCGTATTAACATCAGTTTTGATACAGCTCTTACCTGGAACATAAAAGAATTTAACATATTGCAAAGAAACATATAATTATTTCCCATGACATAAGTTATTTTTTCAGTAAATATTAGCCTCCTCAAATTCCCCAAGATCTCCATACCATGAAAATTTCAGTATGGGGAGAAGAGGTTGTAGCTTTAACACAGGCAGCTTTATCTTCAATGGACAATGAATTATATTAGCAGGACTTTCAAAGTGCTTTAGGAGGAATATTAAAATAATGCAATATGGGGTTTTTCTAGAATTTGTTGGAGTTAGCTTTGTTTTCCAGAAGTAATGGTTTGGTGGAGATTGTGGGTGCCTTCAAATCAACGTTGACTCCTAGTGCCTGCCTGGTCAAGTTTTTGTGGCAAGGTTTTTTTCAGAACTTGCCTCCTTCCAAGGTCTGAGGGAGAGTGACTGCTCCATGGACCCCCAGTTGGCTTTGTATTTAAGATATGCTTAGAACTCACGGTCTCCCAGTTTCTCACCTGATGCCATACCCACTACATCAAAATGGCTCTTTTGTGTCATTACCACCTCATAAATGAGAAGCAATAAGGATGGCATCAGTTCTTGCAGAAAGATGGTGTGTGTCAACCTGATGCCTCTGTGGTAAATAATCTTCTGAAGGCCTCCATTTGAAATGGGTACAAACCACTTCAGAATAATTTTACTTAGATTCAGGGGTAATTCTAATGGATCTATCTGAATAAATTCAAATTAAATTGCCCTTTAATAGTGCACAATCTTATTATGATCCATCATTTTGTTTTCACCAATGACGATCAAATACAAAGGCAATAAATAAGATAACTATAATAGTATCATCTTGTTGATGTTCCCCAGTGATGGCATAGACACATTGTTTTTCCTGCTACACTGCATTTTCCAATGTAAATATGTGCATTTACAAAAAGAACCAAGCTGATAAAGGCTGCCATGGGTGATTTTAATTCAGTTTGGAAAATAATTGAAGTCTGGCCAATCACAAACATTCTTTTTACCAAAATGCATATTATTAGTAAGGATACCTGAGCTGTCTCAGCATGAGTGTTGCTTGAAGGTAGGAGTGCACATTGTTGTCCTCTATCAAACCTCAGCCCTCCAAGAAGGCAACCTCCATCATTTTCCTACTATGTATCAAAAGTAGTGTTTTCTGACACAAGCAATTCTGTTCATTTTTCCTGTTGTGCTTCAATGCACTGTAAATAAACATTTCCACTCCAACTGGCACTTTTGTGCACTGTGACAGGAATGTTCCATCCCCTATGCTGATTGACCAATGCCCTCAAGGTCATTTTGTTCTCCAACACTGAACTTCTGTGTTGCCTGCTCATTCCTGAAGGAACCTCATCTGGTGAACTTGCTATTTTTTCCCTTCATTTCATCAGTGGGCCTTTGAATTTCTTTTGTCAATTTAACTAATGAAATGGTGGATATTTCCATTGTTTTAAACCAGATGAAACTGACAGAAATTCTGCCATGTTCTTCTAGATCAAGGGATAATAAGAACGGTAAAAAGAGGAGCTAGGGAAGGAAAAATCAACTACAAGGGGAATCAGCATACAGCAGCTCATAAAGAAAATAGTCTATCAGTGGAAACTGCATGTCCTGAAAATACATCATTTTTTAGTATGGGTGGGGCAAGTAAAGCAGAGGCATTGCAGAGGCAATGGCAATCACAGTCAGGACAGAAGACCAGACAATTACAATGGTCAAAGAGAGAAAAAGGTTGAAATCCAGAATGCAGAATTCTAACAGATTTCATTTCCAGCTAATTTATACAGAGGAGTCAAGTGGTATAAGGCTACAATGCCAAAAAAAAGCCCTAACTGACAAATTGTTTCCCATTTCTTTCCATTTTTTAATGCAAAACAGAAGCTGATTTGAATCTTAAAATGCCACATTTTTGTGAGTTCAAGATTCTTGCTTGATTTTTAATGGGGTTATATTCTTCAGTTTATGTTATATAGAATATTAATGTTGTTTTCCGAATGGGAATGGACTGTCTCATGTTAAGACCACTAACAAGTCAGAGGCACAGAAATAAAATTCACTAATTAATTCCTGAGATAATTCACATGATTTTATTGTAGAAATGATATTATGTTTAATCTAGGACTCAAAGTACTCTAAACTTTAAAATATTAAAGTATTTTTGGTACTCTATTTATATTTTGTAAACTTCCAACAAATAAAGAATAAAGTAAAATAAAAAAATATTAGGTTAAAAAACACTCCCAATGACTTTCATAATTATTGATTACAATGTTATTATCACATTAAAAAAGACATCAAATTAATTAAATAGTATTTATTTTTACTGATACCTCTAATTTGCTATAGAAAATATTTTATTGAAGAGTATATTAATACTAAGATACTCGGTTGTACATTCAACTATACTTGTATCCATAAACACAATAATGAATGTTTGGAATGGCTTTATAAGTCTTTTATGTCGCTTTTGATAAAGTCATTACAGCTCTTTTTAAACCCCCCAAATGAATCATCAATCATTTGTCTCAAATAGCAGCCTTGCACAACGTGTTTTCCACTTCTGAAAAGATCACCAAAGGCTGCAAATGGCACAGCATTAGTAAGTTTGGAAGTTATTTGTTGAGATTCAGAAAGAGTTGTGGTTGAAACATCTGCCTGGCAAAAGCATTTTAACTTATCATAGATCTGAACTCAGCTTCAAATTGTTGGATTTAAGATAAGTCTAAAATGATAAAATTTGCCTTTAAGTGAAAGTAAACTCCAGGGAGCTTGAACACTATGTCACATAGTTTTAGAAATTTTAGAATTTCCAGCTACTCACCCTACAGTTATTCAATCTTTCCTCCCACTAAGATTTAATCCACATCTGATTCATCTGAAGTATTTCCCTATAATTATCATTATTTAGGGCATGTCAAATTTTTCAACTTTCAATTTCCAAACATTAAGGTTGATCAAATATTGTGACATGCCTTGGAAATTGTAAAGATATTTTGGTTATTTTAATATAATGTAGATGTGCTTGGTAAATAACTACATAAATATCATTAGTTTTTATCATTTTGATTGTTTCATTTCACAGGTTCAACTGCCTTTCTCTGTGAAACATTATTTTGTCTGAGTGTGTTTACTGCTGGCCTCATTTCCTGTGAGTGTGATAACTGATCTACAATGATTTCTAAAAGAAGAACAAGACTGGGAATATATATGAGCAACCTAATTGGGACTAGCAGAGACTTATTGCCATCTGAACTCCCAGTACTGTGAGACATTCTCAGATATGACCTATCGTTAAGAGAATAAAGTAGTGATGATGCTAGAAAATACACAGCAGTCAGTCTGGCAAGAGACATATATCCCAAAGTGCTTGAAAAATGGGAACGAGTGAACAGTTCTTTTGTGACCCCTGTTGTAAATTCATGAGTAACTATCTTGAACAAGATCCAAAAGAGTTGGGATCGAGCCAAAAACATATTTCCTGGTAGAAGAAAGCTAGATGTCAAAGATACTTTCACTGTGAAACTTGACAAACTATTTGACATCCTCAACTACAAGTGTCAACTTATTCTGTGTGTCAAATTCGGCATCCCTGCTGGCAGCAAAAAAGAAGCCCACATTAACTGTACTTGACCTAAGGAGACAGAGATAGGAACTTGTTTTCATTAAAGGTCAGACAGACAAGATGGGGTTTTTTGGATGATACCAGATTGGTTTGCCAGATGTGGTCAATCAGAAACAACTAGGCAAAAGGCAAAAGCAGCAGGATGATGAGAGAGAAAGGCTTACTAAATATAAGCAGAGAAGTATTCCAGACATTTTGATACTGAAAAATGAATATCTCTTATGATGAAAATGAAGGACAGATGACTGATGATGAAGATGAAGAGGAATGTGATAAAAGTTATGAAGAGGCCTTAGACCAAACACATGTGCCCTCTACTTTAAAAAAAAACAGAACGTGATAGATTAGTAATAACAAATGTTGCTAATAGAAAATTAATAAAAATTTTTTTAAAAATGTTGCTATGCTGGAGTTGATTGACTGGTCTGAAGATGATCAGAGCCACCTTTGATGTGCAAACTGACTACAGTGGAAATAAAGAAGTTTATTGACAAACTAATGCAAGTACCACAGTGGCCCTGTGATGCCCAATCAATAGAGAGATGTGTGAAACAAGTCACAGAGGCAGCAAGCAATGTTTACACAAATGAGAAATGTGAGGGTTATATCAGAGGCCAAGAAGTGAGTTGGTGGCTGATGTTGCAGAACAAATCAAGATAAGATTTGATTAAACTCCCTTGAACATTTTTGTAACTCAGACAGTTGCTTTTTGATGTTAGTTTATGGTTGCATGGATTATTTTTTGCTTACCTAGGTATGATTCATGCAGAAAATGTTTTTAATTTTTGTAGCACAAGGTGTAATTTTGAGAAGATAATGTTAACTGTATTTGTGTTACAAGAGACTTTTGTAGGGTATATGATCCGTCATGGGTTTACCATAAATGTTGTGTAATTGCAAAAATAACAGCAGATTTGAATTCTTGGTGTAAAAACACATATTTTTAGAATCCCTCACTGAAAAAAACAGCAAAAAATAATTTTCATCATGTTAAATGACACACCATTGCGTATGGTGGAAGGTACTACTTGTTTGGATGGTCAGAATTACATGTTTGTCCTGAGAATGGTTTGAAGGTAACTGATTAATATGTACACAATAATCTTTGCATTATTTATGGAAGAGCTTATGATAATATAAACCTATATTTTGGGATAGAGCACAAAAATGACACATAAAGAGGAGAGACTGGAAGTACCTCAATAAGACAGACAGAAAAACTGTGGGCTCTAAAGAGCCTCACTTAAATTCTGGCTGAAAAACTGATGCTGAGGATCTTTGAACCAGAACTTTCCTAAAGAGAAAGTGAAGAAGGAGCTGCATGTCATTGGACCTAGAGGAATGCAACAGGTTCCTTGTAGATCAGAGATTAGCTCTCTGAATCGGCATCAGGGGAGGCGGCATTGTAAAATGACTACTACAAAGCTGAATCTTCTGGACTTAGCATATAAGAGCCAAGGTGGCGCAGTGGTTAAATGCAGCACTGCAGGCTACTGCTAGATCAGCAG